ACACAACGCACAGTCAACCTGTGGAACTCCTTGCCAGAGGATTTTGTGAAGGCTAAGACTATAACAGGGTTCAAAAAAGAACTAGATAAATTCATGGAGGATAGGTCCATCAATGGCTATTAGCCAGGATGGGCAGGGATGGTGTCCCTAGCCTCTGTTTACTAGAAGCTGGAAATGGGGGACAATGAATGGATGATTCCAATTCATTCCCTCTGAAGCACCTGGCATTGGCCACTGTCAGAAGATAGGATATTGGGCTAGATGGACCTTTGGTCTGACCCAGTATGGCCTTCTTATGGGTTAAGAGACACATCTGATCTGGAGCACTCAGTCAAAATGAAAAGACCGTATCTGTGACTAAGGTCTGTAAAGCACAGGGGGAAATCTTGAGAGAAAGGATGGTGCCGTGATTAGATTACTAGCCTGAGACTTCCTTATTTACAATTCTCTCCTCTTCTACAGACTTCCTGACTGTAGTAGGAAGAGAGCCTGGGACAAAAGCCCCAGAGGCCTGGTATGAGGCAGGACCTGCTCACAGAATCTGGCATGAACTGACCCCAAAGTCTGACTGATATTACCAGGGAATTTGTTTACCCAATCTGTAGTTACTATGTAACCTAATTTTTTTACCAATTTGTTTCTTGTGGGGATTTTCAGGGAGGGGCTAAGGGGATTTCCTAGCTCATGGTTTTCTGTCATGTTAGATCGCATTTCCTACAGAGGACAGCTTACTTACTTACCAGATCAGTAGTCGGGGGTCACCAGTGTAGTTAGATGTTTGGCTGTGTGTGTGTGTGTTCTCTCTGTGTGCTGTCCCAGCTCTGCGCAGACAGCCGGCACAGCAGACCTCAAGTAAACTGTCCAATGACCACAAGATTTGTTAAGGTGCAAAGGCACCCGGCTAGGTTTATTGTCAACGAAGCACGGTAATAGCACCTGGCAGACTCTACGAGGTTACTAAGACATGTATGCCAGTGACAATGGACGCAGCTCAGTGAATGGCGGGATTTTCCATTTCCCCCCTCGGCTGGCCAGAGATACTCCCTCTGAGATACCTCTTTATACCCTGATACAAACAAGTTACGTACTGCCTCTGACATACTTAGTTACTGCCCCTGACGTGGCTAGTTATCACCCATCACCTTGTACATGTCGATCAAAACATCTCTATTACGTACTGTCATCCTGACCTTATCTTTTAGAAGGAGTCAGTGTGTTCCTGTTATCCTTGGGGAATGTTATGTACCATCCTTAATATCGGGATGTTCTGGTACCACTTAATATCGGGATGTGTTTGCATGAGTACTCTGGGCTTAGCACTTCTTAGAAATGTGTATTTCTGCAATATTCAGCCCTGTTCTTGCCAGATTCTGAGAGCGGGTCCTGCCTTATACCAGGCCTCTGTGGCTTATGTCTCAGGCTCTTTTCTTACTACAACCTTCAGCGAGCCATGTAGATTTCCTCTGCTGTAGTACCCCATATGTAAAACAGGGATAGTAGCAAGGGGGTATTGTGAGGATAAATGCATTTCAGATTGTGAGGCACTCAGACTGTCTGGTAATGGGGACCAGATAAGTGCCATAGATAGATAGTCTAGTGATTATGAGGGAATGGTTACTAGGAGCCTGGGACCACATGAATTTCTGAATAAGGTCCTGCTGAATGTGAGTTAAAGGTAACAGAATCTGGCTCAGTCTTTTCTCTCTTCAGGAGATTTTAAACAAACACCTGAACCACACACCCCACCCACAGACTTTCCGGATGCAATAGGACATATTTCTGTCTCAAATGTTGCGGCTGGCTTTAATGTCCATAAAAGTTTGTAATCTCATGAGTAGTGTGGCTATGTAGTCTGGAAAGTAGTCTTGTTCTGTACATTGTTGATCTTCTTCAGCCAGTCAGAGGATAGAGTTCTGCATGCTGCGCACAGTCTCCAAAACAGTTCCTGATGCTGCTGTCATGCGAGCATGAGTGTCAAGGCATCACTTCACTTATGTCCTTCTGATGGGATCCATCAATTTTCCCCACCACCAATCACAGCCATCCAACACAGAAAAGTTTGGGGTTGGATGGCTCTGCGGATTGGGGATGGGACACAGAGCCTTACACCTGCAGGTTGTCTGTTGCAGTCTATCCCCAAGTTAATAGTAACTCATGAATGCCACCATCTGATGGGCATTCACTGGCCTATGTGAAATGAATTTGTGCTCTCTGTCCATTCCTACTGGGATTTATATTTGCATAGTTGAAATCACCAACACGAGCAGGACTAACTGGTATCACTTTTTAGCAAAAGAGCAATCGAGGATTAAATGAAAGGACCATGAAAACTGACTCCCCTCTGCCTTCCTAGAGGTGATTCCTCCAAACCAAAGGCTGAAGCTCTTAGCTCAGAATCCATATGTGTAGAAAGCTTGCACTCCTGCTACCCATGATGTATCTGTGCTGTGCATGAAGGATCAAATCCTCAGTCAATAGAATGACTTCAGTTTACCACCATCGCTTCAGGGTCTCACCCAGAGATTCCAGCCACAAGACCTGTCAACCCAGCACCTTTCAGCAGCACCAATTCACTTAACATGAAGCAGCATATTTCCAGATGGAAGTTTTTTTATGGTGTGTTTTTTTTTTTTTTTTTTGCCTCCCCCACTTCAAGTATTCCCTCTAAGCAAAGGCTCCTTGTTTTTCAGTTCATCCACTTTGTGATGAAGAGTTTTAATATTCTGGAAGATTTGTGTCAATATGGCATTGTATTCTGCCACAGTATTACCTAAATAATTTTATATATAATCATAAATGTTACCTAAATGCAGTTCTGATTCCTGGAGCTCACTTTCTCCCTTTCTCTTTTGTAACATTTCTCATTCTTTTTCTCTTTTGTAAAATTGTAAAGGCACCTTTAAATTGAAGTTTCATTTGCATCTGTTTACTGTAATCACCACAGTTGGATGGGTGGGGTTGTCACCCTTTCACTTACATTGTCCATTTATCTATCTGCAATCTGAGACTCTCTAGATCTTGCCTTTAAATCTCTGGCTCTTAACTGCATTTCTCTGGGAAGCATTTTGTGATGCTGGGTATGAAGGATGTTCCATAAAAAGACACTCTTATTTATCATCAGAACAAAATTGGCTCATGGGTCTTTTATCTATCTATGTGCATTTATCAGCGTGCTATTTAGTAACTTCCCAAGAAAACAGGAGCAGGTAGTTCACCAAATTCAGCCTCCTCTCTCCCTCTCTGTCTCTTTTTTTTCAACTCTTTCCCCCCCCCACCCCTTTAACAATAAGGAGGGTGTTTGATATGAGTGCCTTGTTTTGTTTTTCAGGTACTGTTTATCTAAAGTAATGTAAAACCATAGAAGAAGAATGTGCCCTTGTTTTCTCCCAAGTTCACTTTCACCTGACCTTTAACTATTTTTCAGTTGCAAGAGGCAAGATTACATTTTTACATTCTGCTTTTTGGGGGTTTTTTGCCCTCCCCCCCAAAAAAAGTCACCATGACAAGGGAGAAAAAAGTAGAGGAAGCAGAATCTTGTGTTTAAGTCACAAGACTGCAAGTCAGCAAAGCATGTTAAATTTGTCATAAACTTCTTGTTTACGGTTGGCCAAGTCCATTAGCTTATCTGTGTTTCATTTTACCCCTCTATAAAATGGAAATAATAATACAGTATATGATAATAATAACCTCCTTACAGGCCTGAGGAGAGACCTAATTCATTATGGGCCTATAAAAGGAGGATGCCTTAAAAGCAGAGAGTATTATTATACTGCATGGAAAATTGTTGGCATGATCTGTGTTTCATGGATTCTATTTAGGTTAGCAATTCCTTGGGGGCCAGGACTCTCTTTTCATTGTTTATATGCACAATGTCCAGCACTATGCAACCCTGATTCCTGCCTGGGCCTTGTAGGTGCTACTGCAAAACAAGTAATGCATACTCACTGCATTTAGAGTTGGTGAAGCCCTATTAGGTCACTGTATACTCCTTCCTTGCCCCCTGTCAGTACCAGATGGTTCCCTATAGTATATTCCAGGTGCAGGCAGGTGCCCTGAGACAGCTGCTGCCCCCATCGCCCCAATCCCTTTTCTTGGGGGTTGTGCTTGGTGTATTCTTTCGGCTTGTACTAATGGCTGCTCATTTAAGGCACTCCCCAAAGCCCACCCATTAGTCTCCTCCTTCCACCCCTCCCTCCTCTTTCTTCTCTCCCCCACCCCGCAGTTCCAAACACAAGGCATTCCTTTGTAGTCCCTTCCATTGCAGAGGGAGAAGGGAGCAGAGACAGCGCAAAGCTCTCTCCGATTGCTAGGAGTGGGTGGGCTTTGTTCAAACGCAAAACCACCCACCCAAGGAGCTGCCACTACCTGTAGTTTTAATCTCCAGCCCCCCCGCCCCCTCCAGCTCAAGGGCTGTGTGTGCTGGTGAGGATCGTGCCTGGGTGAATTCATTCCACCACCACGATCTGGTCTTCACACCCTTCGGGGCGGCGGGGAGGGAGGAGGGCTTCTCTTTGAAGAGGAGTGGGGAGGCGGGTTGGATGATGTTTTTGGTGCTAGATTTGGGGGAGCGGGAGCCCTGTGGGCAGGGTGCTGAGCTGATGGGCACACAGACACACACAGACACAGACAGACACACACACACACGGCTTTGAATGACTTGCTGCAGACCGCACAGACCTGCCAAATGTTGCCAGCAGAGGGAAGGAGAGACACTCTCCCCAAGCTGATCTCTGCGGCGCGCTAGGGCTCGGATCCCTCCCTTTGGCCGCAGGACTGATTCAGGGGCCGGGGTGTTGTTATTATTATTCATTTTATTTTCTTGGCTGGCCGCTGCTGGCTTCCTCTGCTCTCCCATCCCCGCTCAGCTTCCCCCGCCCCAACCAGCGCACCCTCCCGCCCCCCCCCCCCCGCGCGTCCTCCTGCTCTTCCTGGGCTGCCCCCTGCGCAGGGAAGCGGCTGCCGCTGGGGGTGGCGGGTTGCAGGGGCGCCGCGATCGGAGCAGCGAGGGAGGGAGGCCGGGGCTGAGCCATGCCGGGGGGCGGCTGCTGGAACCAGGGATGGGGCGAGAGGCTGCTGCGGATCCCAGCGTCTCCCCGCCGGGGGCCCAGGAAGCAGAAGAGCCGCCGCCGCCGCTGCTGAGAGCCAGCAAAGGGGGGCGATGGGTGAGTAAGAGACGCCCCCCGATTCCCTCCCCTCCTAACCACCCCCGGCCTCCCGGTACATCCCACCGCCTCTCCTTCCCATGCCCACCATCCTCCCCCCTCCTAGCTGCCCTCTCCTCTCCCCTTCCCCCAGCATCCGTCCTCCCGCTTTCCCTCTCCTCATCTGCCCTATCACCTTCCCCTACATCCCTCTCCTTCCCGTTCCCCTTCTGTCATCCCTTCCCTCCTGTACCCTCTTCCCTGCTCCCTCTCCTCTCATCCCTCCTTTCGCCCTTCCCCTATCACCCTCCCCCTCTCCTCCTGACCGCTCCTGCATCCCCTCTGGCCCCCGCACCCACCCCCAATCTGCCCCTTCCCCTCCCCCCCCTTTGTGCGTATGTGTTGGCAGGAGGTGGGGGAAAGTTTAAAGGGCTGATCTTGAAAAATGAGCAATTTAGAGCAGGGGGAAAGAGGCTGGGAAGTTGTTTGTTCACATGGGGGCTGGGAGGTTACAACTGGCCTAGTCTCTGTCCAAATTGGGCCAGCTCCTAGTTCCAGCATCCCTGCTCCCTCCTCACTACCTATGCAGGAGTCCCGGGTGGAGGTGAGGGCTTTACAATCCCTCTTGCTCAGCTTTTAGTCTTTCATTTTCTTTCCCTTTATATGTGTGTCCTACAGCCCCTACCCCAAGAACAGCTGTAGCTTCTGCAAGGGGAAGGAGGAAATCGCAGCCCCCCCCCCCCAGCATCTATAGAAGCAAAGCAACCTGTGTCTGCAAGAATGTACGGTGATAATGTCTTATATAGGCTGTCAGCGAGAAAGATGCTTCCCCTTCAAACACCCGATAATCCCAGCATCCCACGCAACAAAGTGTCAGTGATGGGGAGACAGAAGAATATGTCACAACTCCCTTAGCCATCTCTCTGCCACCCCCACAACACACAGCCACGCCAAGTGAGGAGGGGAGCCTGCAGCCCAGGCACTGCAGCAGGAGGCCCATCTGCTGCCCGTGCTCTCTGTGCCAGGAGGGTACTGACTGTGCATGTGTGCCAGCCCTGCAGCATGCTCTAGGGAGGAAAAGGAGTATATGCGTGGGGGATGGGAAGGAATATAAAAAATAGATAATCAAACATCGACTCCCCTCAGTCCCCATGTCAGATTGATATAATCCCCCATCAAGGGCTGAGCACAAAGGGACGTGGGCTCTGAGTACCTCGCCAATTCTATAGGGCTGCTGGTAATGCCTGGGGATTTGTTAGCTATAAATATCTCTATATTTGTTGTAAAGCAGTGTATGTGTGTGTGCAATTTTACCATCGCGAGATCTGTTTCTCCACACAAGCTCGACAAAGGTATGGGGGACAGAGTGTGTGCTGCAGCTACAGACCTGCTGAGACAGCTCGCAGAGATGAGACAGAAAGAGAGGCAAAGCAGGAGGGATGGAGACAGTACTGAGCTCTGTCAGACTGTGTTTTTATCAAGGGGTTTCTGGTGACAACACTCGAGAGCAGAACTTGGGTCACCAGAAAGTCCTTCCACATCTCCCAGAGCAGAACTCAGGTTACCAGGATCTCACCCTTGGGAGCGGAGCTTGGGTCATTAGGAAAACTGACCCCAAAAGGAGCAAAGCTTTGGTCACTGAGACTCCCCTTCAGAGAATGGCACTCCGGTCACCAGCAAACCCCACCACCAGAGCGTGAATTCAAATCACCCCAAACACCCACTACTACTGCTGCTAGGAGCATCGCTTGAATCACCAGGAACCGCCCAGTCCTGTGAGCAGATCTCCAGTCATCATAGACTCCCACCCTGGACTGCAGAGCTTGAGTCATCACAAACCCCCATCTTCAGGAATGGGGCTGAAGTCACTTTAGCTGGAACTCCCCCCCACCCCGACAAGAGTTCGTGTTATCTGGGTCCCTCCCTCAAAACTGGTGCTTGAGTCAACTCTGAGCACCTCTCCCATGCCCCAAGAAAAATCACTTGTAATTCCCTGTGGATGGAGCCTGAGTCACTACCAGCTTCTAAGAGCAGAGCTCAAGGCAACCTAGGACCCAAAATCAGAGCTCAAGACAGCTGAGACCCACATCCTGTGAGGGGAGCTCAAGCCAATGGAAACCTCACTCAAGAGCTCACCTCCAGAGTCCCCACTCCTGAAACAGAAAATAGTGAGTGTGGGGACATGTTTTTAAACCAGGATTAGACAAAAGCAGTCCTCTGGGTCTGTTTCTGGGGATCCCCTGATTTTCCCCTCCTTTACATCCTTACAAACATCCTTTAGGCACGGAAGTAATCCCTGTCCTTATAAACAACAGACAGGGAATGAAAACTTGAGTCTATCGGCTGGGCATCACAGAGTTCCTGCTCCAATCTTTGGTCCTGCCTCTCTACCCTGAGATGGTTTTGCAGTAGTGAAGGGAAATCAGCTGCAGGTGTGAGACTCCCTCCTGCAAGGATGCTCTGCTGTACCTGCATAGCTGGGTGTTAATCCTTTGGATGTACAAGAGACCCCGCTGGAGACAGAATGCCCATCACCAATAGAGGTGAGAGATCCTGACCTGGGGCAGGGGGAGGGGGCAGGTGAATGCCTGAAGGCCGCTCCTAATGTGGTGACCTAGTTGCACTTTGGGCCATTTTGACTGCAGTTTCAAAGCTGAGCCACGGCCTCTTCCTCACAGCAAATGTCAGTAAGGTTGGAAGAAGAAATAGTTCCCTATGCTGTATGAAGTTGAGCAATGCAATCAAGAAGAGTTAGTCTAAACTGGGGAAGTGTGTGTGTGTGTGTGTGTGTGTGTGTTCAGGGCAGGCCCACAGTCATTCGGGGTCTGCCAGGAGTTTTGAAATAGGGGCTCTTGTGCCCTGCACAGGACTGTGAAAACTACACCAACTTTGTGGCACTTCTGCTGAAGTTCCCTGTGGCTGCAGAGTCAGTGGATACCTATCACTAGCCAGGTGTGCATGGGTTTGTGTGACTGGACTGGTCATTTGTGCAGACAGTGTACATGTGAGGTTTGTGTTCATTGTGCGTGTGTGGTATTGTGTCTTTGTGAGCACTTGTGCCTGTTTGTGTAGTGGGTGCATGCATTGTGCCTTTATGCATGTCTGGGTGTGTATTGTGTGCCTGGGGCAGGTATATCTGGGCAAAGACTGAGAGTGTCCAATAATGCATGCATTTACTGTGTGTTTTCATGTTCAGGGTGTGCATTTGTATGTATGGTTTAAGTCTGCAAGCCCACGTGGTGTCTCCGTGTGGCTTAACGTACAGCACGTGTTCACAATTGTGTATAAAAGTGTAGTTGTGCATAGGCAGTGTGTGAAGCACACACTGGTACACGCAACTCTCTCTTTCTCTCTCCCACTCCTGCATTAATTTGTTAGCCAGGCAATAAACTCTGCATTGGGGTAGGCTTCTCCGCACCCTGTGCCTGGATTTCTTGCTATTCTGAGAATAGCAGCTTTAAGATAAATGCACCTTCCTTCCTCCCCTCCCCAAATGATATCTGTCTTCTCCCCCGCATCAGAGCAGAGGGAGGGAAAAGGGAGTGTGGTGGTGGTGGGCAGGGCGAGGGAGCTCGTGCCAGCATTCACCAAGGCTGGTTAGATTGGAAATGGGGTTCTTTGCTCTGAAATGAGCCCTTTGTACTTTGTTGGAATCAATGACCCAATCAGAAAGGGATGTGGCTGGAGGAGGAGGAGGAGGTAGCGCTGAAGAAGACTGGTACAGCTGACATTAACTCCAGGGCAAGAAGCGAAGGGGAAGATCGTGAATTACTAACTGGTGCAGAAACCTGGGTAATTTCTCTGAATCAGGCCAGGTGCCTCAAAGGGCCTGTCTACATTTCGAGCTTCCTGAGGTCACTGCATGTAGGGGGGGATAGGCGAGCCCCTCTCCACCCCCAGCTTGGCTGGCCCCTCAGCTCATCCCTGGCACTATTCATCCTGCTGACAGGGTGCAGTCTCCAAATGGTTGGGGGCTCAGCAGGGTGCATTTAGCAATGAGAGGGTTAATCTGAAGTCAGGGAATATGGGGGTGGGGGTGTGTGCAATGCAGCTAGCAATGCAGGTGTGTGCTAAATGTTTTCCATCCGGCATTCACTTTGGAGGCGGGTGGCACTGACAGAGCCATTCAGCGTGGGGTGGAGAAGGAGTCCCCCTCAGATGGGACCAGCAGGCAGTGCTGAGGAACACTGACAGAACGGCATGGAGGGGTTACAATGGAGTCATGGGCAGCGTTCCAGGTTAGGGTTGTGGTGCAGTGACAGAGAGCGGCGTGAGAGTGCCTGTAGGAGGAGGTGCTGCAGGCCGGGATTGTGGTGCATTGGCAGAGCTGTGTAGCAGCTCAGGACCAGAAGAGCAGTGGTCGACAGAGCTGTGACGGGCCCCCTCCCTATGGCAGAAGGAGATGAGGTTGTGTTGGAATTGTGGTGTAGTGATACACTCCCTGAGAAAATAGAACTGGATTTCTGCCCCCCGACCCCACCCATTGGACTCTGGCTGCAGCTCTCCGGAAGCAGGACCTTTGCTCCACAGATTTCACCAGACTCCCTGATACCACTTTGCAATGCTAACCCTTTGTTTCCCTCAAGCCTTTCCTGAGAGCAACAGGTGCCTCTTTGGCTGCAACCCCCACCCCTCCGCCCTGAAGCAAAGGGGATAATTTTGCCCAGACACTTGCCCAATTGAGTACCCTCCCAGGAGGAGGCACAGCACTCTAGTCCTGGCTTTTCCTTTGATGTCTCCCCACTAAAATATATAGCCTTGGGCAGGCAGAGGAAATCAGCATGAGGAGAATCAGTTTCCCTGTGGGTGTTGAGGGGTTTGTTTTATCTGGGTAATGCACTAAACAGCCACCCCACCCCAGGGTGGGATCAGCCACTGATGCAGGACTTCCTGCTGAGGGAGCTGACTCTGCACACAAGGACACTCACCTTCTGTGATTAGCAGTATGGGGAGCCCAATTAACCAGTTGCTTTCTTCCTTGGCTGGCTTTGGGCTAAGAGGTACCCCACCATGTATCTGTC